CCCCCCCACCCCTCCGGCTTTGCTCCTGCATTACAAGTTAATTATTTGTCGCTAAAAATAACAATTGGCAGATATTGCAGATATTTTTAATGATTAATTTTTCAATAATTAGTCATTTTTCAAAAAAAAGGTGGAAGTTCAAATTCATATTTTTAAAAAAGAAATGAAGTCAAATACCGGTAAATTCCTTTTCTTCGCTAAAAACTAACAGATGTTGAATTTTATCAGTCATTAGTCAGTTTTCAAAACAAATGTCGAAGTTCATTCAAATAGAATCAATACAGGTTAATTATTTTTCTTCCGCTCAAAAGAAAAGAAAAAAGAAAAAAAAAAAAAACACTGTAAGTGTAGCAGATGTTTCATGATGACTTTCATTAACGCCAACACTTACTTTAATTCATACCAAAATTACAATAATTATAAGTTATTGCGATTTTAAGCCACTCTTACGGGTTAATTGTCTGCTGGTTGGGAGAAAATATATTCCGTATTGACTTTTGCTTACCATTTTTAACCTACTTTCATGCCGTTTTGTCCAGAAAAAGTAAACGGAAATCTCCAAACTTTGGAGTTGAATGAAAGACGTCCATGGTCATTTTTACCTAAACCTGATATTGTTTTGGATTGTCTGTACGTGTAGTTATCTTTCATTTTTTCAAGTAAAACCAACCAACAAAGCGTGAAAATGTCGACCATGGAGAGCTTTGTCGAAGGATTTTTCAAAGAAAAACTAGCCCTGTGGGGTGGCTGGTGGTGGGTCGTGTACACGGAGAGTAGTAAGATCAGAATTCGTTCTGGCCCGAGTCCCGCCTGAGTCGTGTTACAAATGTGACAGAACGAATTCAGAAAACCTACGAGCGAGCGAAAAATTGTCTGAACAAAAATTTCGGTCAGAGAAATCATAGTTAATAGCGAGGGGAATGGTTAGGAAACCTATTGTTATCAGGTCTTTGTTCGCTTTTGATGTTGAACTGGTCTTGACCATGCACAATGTTTGATTTATGCTCATCCAAAATTGCAAAATATGTAAACGTAAACTTTGTCTATGGGATTGTAGCAGCAGTAAGTGCGACTCGCGATTTTTGAAAAACCCGTTCGGATTCGCACGGGTTTTACCCGCGAAATAACGACTTTTTTTTTAGCGTCCGCATTTTAATAATTCCGAAATATTCCTTTGCGATAGCGCGTATTTGCACTTACTGCTGCTATGTTGGAAAT